TACACTTCCATATTAAAATGTAAATACATGTCACATCAGAACAGTTCAAGATCTTTTCAGATGACAATTCCCTAAAACATTTCTCTGAGTGTGGGCCTCTAGTTAAACGTACTGACAGATGAGTTGTTCCGCTGTCCACAAAAGCTATTAGAAGTACCACGATTCCTCATCTGCAGAGCAGACAGTAAAAACTGGAAAGCCAGTTCAGAGAGTGCACAGCACTGAATGCTGTATGTGATGCCTTTTGTGTAGTAATGCAAAGCTTTTCCAGGTCAAGCCTAAAGGAGGTCGGTGCTGATGCACTGCAATACTAAGCAGAGGCCTGTTTCAAAATAGAAACATAAACACAGCGCCACCACTTCCTATCAGGGCCAGTTAACTCGTGTCTGCACTGGATGAGCCACAGACAACTGATATGTGCAGGAGTGTTTTCACATTTTAGATGAATTTATTATAGGTGCAACACTCATAATTTATGGCCAAACTGGTATTGGAAAGACCTGCACAACTTAAGGGGAGTCTCAGTGAAGAACATGCTTGGGAAGAGGATTTGCTACCAAGTACAATAAATTGTACTGAATATTAGAAAAACTTTCAGAAATTAATACTGATTTTTTTCTTTTCTTAATTCTCTCTTATGGAAATCTATATTGAAGAGCTTTTTCAATCTTCCGAATCCTATTCCCAGTGCTGGAGAAGGAATGCAGATGTTTGATGATCCCATAAACAAGTCAGGTGCGAATGTGAAAGGCTTGGAAGAAATACACACCAAAAATGAAGCCTAACAAATCTTGAAAACAGGTGCAGCAAAAAGAACTACTGCAGCTGCTAACATGAATGCATAGTCCGGTTGTTCCTACTCTGTGTTTTCAGTTACTATCCACGTGAAAGAAGCCAGAGCAGATGGACAAGAGCTTTCTAGAACTGAGAAGATAAACTTGGATGATCTTGCAGGAGGTGAATACACTTCAGTTTTGGGTGGTTCATAAAAGAGCTTGGGAAAGTGGAAATACCAAGTAGTCTGTTCTGACTGGTGAAAGAGTTATTACTGCTGCTGTGGAAGGAGACACAGAGACTCTTAACAGAATCCTTCAAGACTCTCTCAGAGAACAACAAAGAACATCAATAATTGCCACAGTTTCTCCCACATCTATAAATCCTGAGGAAACATTGAGTACACTGGCATATGCTCACAGAGCAAAGAACATAATGAAGCCTGAAGTTAACCAGCAGCTGCCAAAAGGAGCTATTATTAATGAAGATACTGAAGAGACTCAGCATCTAAAAGGAGACCTCGCTGCTGCACAAGAGTAAAAGGGAATCTATATTTTTATTGAAAACTCATGAAGCCCTTAAAGGAAAGCTGACAGTTCAGAATATATTGACATAATCAGTGCCACGGAAGAAGTGAAAACAGTTACTAAACCATTCACAGTTAATAAAAACAAACCTTAACAATGCAAACAGGTCTGCAAGTCAAGGAGAAAGAACTGAAAGAAGCACAGATAAATCTAGCTAAGAAAGAATACGGGAATTCAGTTTTGGAAAACACCAAAGAAAAACTTCATGGCACAGCTAGCCATTTATTGTTATTACAAAAGATGTATATATATATATATAAAACTGGATCATAAGAAATCAGTTGATCAACACAATGCTCTTGTGCAAATACATTTGCAGAAGAAGTGAAGGGTCTGTTCAATAAAATACAAGTTTCAGTTAGAACAGTCTGAAGAAGCAGCAGGTGTTGACATCTTATGCATATTTTATAGGTGGCCTCTTATCTACCAGTTGTTCAGTAGCTAATGTATTCGCATTAGTTGTATCAGCGTCTTTTGCCTCTGATTAAAAATTGTTGACCACTGCTTTCTTATATGTCTGAAAAAAACATGACTCTGCCATTTGCTAGTAAAGCTGTTGAGGTTGACTGAGGAGCATATATGTGGATTAGGAAGAGCATTAAATATATATTAGCTATATGGTGGAAATTGTCCTGGAACTGAATTGTCAGTTTCAGAGTAACACAAATAAATTTTCTGCTGTGGCTGATGAGATGGAGGGTCATAAAAAGAAATTAATGTCTTCTTAGGAGATCCATGTTGCACACTGAAAAAATACAGGAAGAGACAACCAGTGGGTTTAGTCAGCTGAAAAATATGGGAGAATGTAAGAGAAGAAGTGGAAATGACAAAGTTTGTATATACAAAGAATGCAAATGTATTAGTGTCCTTGCTCTGAAGCCAGCTGGATCTGTCAGCACAGGAGATACAGAAGAAATTAGCTGGTGTACTGTCAAAAAATAGAAGTTTGAAGACCACCATCACTGCTGGGCAAGAAAATTTTTACCTGGAAACTATGGACTGAGCCAGCAGTAAAACTTCTGCTTCAAAACAAGTTTATTGCATCGCTGGATCATTTATTTCAAGAGTTCAAGGACACAAATAGTGAAAACAAAAAGAAGCTGGTGGAATCCATTGTCTGTTCTCAGCAACTTTTTAGCAATCTGACAAATGTGTCTTGGGATACTGGTAAAGGGAGAGAATTTGAAACTGCTCAGTCATTTTTATGGATCAGTAGCAGTCCTTCAGCAATGGGAAACAGCAGCTTCAGTGTTTACAATAGAAAACAGAAGTTTTATTATTGAGATCAGTATTTTGTACTGGATATTTTGTTCTGCATTAAGCTGCAGTAGATGTGGTTTGGAACTACCACATTTCATTAATAGATTCTACAATAGATTTTATTATATGCATATCAAGAATACAAACAGTCTCTTGTGTTCAAAGATCCTTGACATACTGCTGGCATTAAGTCAAAGTAATTAATGATTTTAAAAGCACTAAAAGTCACCTATGAGATCTAAAAACTGATGGTCTATACTGACCTTAAAAAAAGAAAGAGCATGTCATGTTGCTGCCAGCCATGGTCAGGGTCTCCACATCTGTGCTCTCATTTACAGAGCTGAATGACTGCTAAAAAAAGAATCTTCTTATCAATTTCCAGTATGTGCTCACTACCTAAAAGCCAGTCAATAGGAACTTATTCAAGGAATAGAACTGTCCTATGGCTATTCGAGGTTGGGAGCTAGACAGCAAGCAATTCTCTGTAATGGGGAAATGCAATGGATTTATGTATTGTATACAACCTCTCTCAAGAACAATAGGGAATTGTGGCTTGCAGCACTTACAAAGTGCGTGACTGTTAGACATAAAAGCTATCCTTAAATACAGACTTGTCAGACTCTTACATATATATATATATATATGTAAAGCTTATGCTGCTACAAATATACTCCCTTAGATATTTTTTATGTCTGACTTCAGAGACTGGCATCAGTGTAATTTCTTTATCACAGCAACATATGGCAGTTTTCCCTGCTGCCAAAACATGGCCATGTTTCAGCCTCAGGGTACAGCTGGGCTGAACTTAAAACTGATACTGTTTTCAAACATAGATAGAGAATTTTATGTTACTCCTTCTGACACCATAAAGCAAAAGTAAATTCAGGATTCTTGTCACCAGAACCAGTATGAACACTATACTGAATTGTGGTTCCAGCCATGCTAGGAAGTGGTTTTTCCTTCTAGTTTTTGGATAACATCTAAAATGATAACCATCCTATATCAGGATCATGTATCACTCTCAGCTATGCACACTGAAAACTTCTTCAGTTTAGACCTCAGTGTGGATCTGCAAGATTCTGAAACTTACGGTGACTGAGTTCCCCACATAACCACAAGTTTTAGTGACTGTGTGCAATCAGTGATTCTGTAAACCTTCTGTTCTCAGAGACTCTTTACAACTCATCCATACTTAATCCGTCATTTCCTCTTACAGTGCTCTCCCTGATTTGCAAAGCTGAATGTAAACCTGCTGTACTGATGCATGTTATCTCGATGTTCTGAAAATTAGCCAGATAAATGCAGCCAAATCCTAGTTACATTTGAAAATACACCAAGCAGCACTATTTTGATTAAAACCATAAAAATATCAAACACTAATTCTGAGCAGTTTGCTCAGCTGACCATGTTCTAGATTACATGGCAAAACCACAAGCATCTAAAGCAAACAAATGGAATAAAAGTCCAACATGAAAAAAAAGGGAGAAGAAATAATACCTGCAACCCCATTCTCTAAGCTTGCAACTGGAGCTAGAAGAAAATCTGTAAGTGCCTCGGGTTTTCTGCTTATTGGTGGAACGGACAAACACCAACTGCATGACAGCATCTGCTTAAAAGAAGCTCAGTGGGCAATAGGAAATTAAAACAGGTAAGGGAGTAACTATTCCCTTCTCAGTAGTAGATATATAAATAGTAGTGTTTGCTATAACGTTGGAGTTGTCTAGGTTACTGCTTTGACCTGGTTCTTTCATTTGGAACAGGTTTAGCCAGATGATGTGACATTCCCTACAGGAGGAAGGAAGCTTCCTGATGGGTAGCAAAGTGTGTAAAGTCCTGTTTTGAAACTTGTAATGCTTTCTCTGCTATGTGTGTTGTTATGAATACAGCTCTGGATGCAGTCTTTAACAGTTACAGAAAGGAAAAAAGAAAGTGGAGGTTAGACAAGAAACTAACAAACAGTTCTCTAAGCAAACTATATAGTACTGTTGGTGGTAAACTGGTGGCCAATGAAAGTTAACATTTTTTTTTATTCCTTCATCTCCTTTTTCTAGACCCCCACTATTTCCAAAGAGTAGTTAAACATGGCTCAGCCTGAGACTGCTTTAAACAAAATCATTCTCCACTTCTGCACTGTTGAAATCAAAACAGTCTGGCACGTTAGATGTGACACATACATTTTATTTCTGTGAAGTAGGAGGTGTATTTCTAACATCAAGCAAGCATATTTCACTGCCAGGACTCTGAAAATGTAGTTGCTCCATTTAGCAGGTGGCTGCTGCAAGAGGGGCTGGAGACTCTGATGTGTGGGAAGCTCCATGACCAGATGAAAAGGGGTTATGGTATGGCTGGTGAAGGAAGAGGCAGAAAGGCCAATGCACTCCTGCAGTGCTTTTTCCACTGTGGTGAATAAGCTTGTATATATAACGCTTTACTGAGTTTGGTGCAAGCCATGGCACAATCATGCTGCTAACAAAAGCGTAGGCCTCAGTGTAGAGCACTTTGCATGCCTTTGTTTTCAAAATCAGTGTTCATAAGGAGCCACAGCTGCTTCAGGTTACTCTTCCTTCAGCTTTTTCTTACATTCAAGTCCTTCCTACAATAGAAATTAGCATGGAGATAGTGAAGATCTTAAAGAATGACAAATTTTGCTGCACTTTTAATTCTGGGACAATTAGACAACCAATAATTTCCCTGATAAGAGGGAGGTGTTAGAAACTGAAGGAGAGCTCATATAAATAATTTACAGCTTAGTAGATGTAGTAGCTTAGTCTGCCTGCAGAACCAACAGACTTTCTATCATTTCTTCCACGATCAAAGCTGGCAAGCTAACCATACTGTGCTGCCTTCAAAAGCCTGAATGGTGAGTAACATAAAGTTTTGTTAGAGCCACTTGCTACTAGTCCCCTCTCATGAGAAACGAAGCAGTAGCTATGCACCGGGCCTTCCTGCAGGCAAGCTCTGGAGCCTGAAACAGCATCCAGAAGATGACTATCTAATTCAGTAGAAATTTTACCACAGCCTAGAATGTTCATTAGGAACAAAATAACTATGCACACCAGTGATTTGTTCATTGCAGTGTTTAAAATAAATGATTTTTAATTCTTCAATCATAAAGCCCTGCAAGTCAGAATAATATATGAAGATGAGCAGAATAAAAAGAGCTAACAAGTACACATTAGAAACACAGCATAGGGCAGAAATATGAACATGTGTAGCACGTTGTTCTTAGTCTTCCTCAGCCTAGGCCTATTCACTCTCCAGGCACCACCACCTTGAGAATACTTGATTCTGTAACTGATCAAGGAGTTCCAGTCTTTCACCACACAAAAGCACTTGCAGACATCAGTGACTGTAGGCGACTGTACCCTGCTCTTACGGTGGGAATAGTTATGTATGTACATATTTGGAGCTGAACTTCTGTAATTCAAGGATTTTTACCAGGTACACTAGTCCAAAGCACAATATATCTTTTTTTTATATCATCATTACGAAAAATAAAAAACAAATGCACAAGAACAAACCAAACCTTGAATGGAATATTTGACGGATTCACATGATTGACAGTTAACATTTATCTGAAGTTCAGATTAAGTCTATTGACCTCATTTTGGGCAAAGACACCTGTATGCATGGAATAAATATCTTTTTTAGGATTCAGGACTAGATATGCCCTCTAAGACCATACCTGAAAGCCCTAAACAGGGCTTATTTCAGAGGGATCGGAGAATATGGAAATCCCAGTAGGCTGGCACATAAAAGATGAATGACAAGAGCATGATGGAGAACAGTCACCTAGATATAAGAAAGAGGAATCTGGCATTTCTGATGCATGGTGCATACTAGAGGAAGGCAGTTTTAGTCTCCCAAGTTAGGATATAAGAGATTGTTCAGTCTGTTTAATGTAGACATTTCATACAGTCAGTAAGAGGAAGATGCTTAGCACATCAGTTAGAAGTCCTCGTCTCTTCAGTGACAGATTAGGAGATATAATATCCCTACCTTAGATAGCAGAGTCTTGAAAACCCTCAGCCACTTTCTGGATTATGATCGTACTTGAGGATGACATATGTGCTATGCTGTTTACTCACCCCTTAAACAAGGAGTATCTGAAAAAAAATTGAATTAAATATTTTGCAGTAGTTGAATGGTGGTTTTCAGGGTCACAATTCTGGATTTACCTACATTCCCCTATGTGCTATTTAGGCCCCTAAATCCTTTGTTATAGACAGCTCTTGGTCCTTCACAGCTGCATCAGTATTTGTCACCATGTAAAAAGTGTACAAACCTACCTTCATACCACTAGGGTTCTGTAAAACTGAGCACACAGAAATTGCAAGGAATGTACTAACACAGCAACCTAAGAATCTAAGAAGTAGAAAGGCAATATGGTTTTTGAGTAACTCAAAGTAGAAAAGTTAGCTTGTACTCTCATGATTCTGCTTTGTAAGGTTCATGCCTTTATGTTACTAAAAAAGAATTGAAAATGTGACCTGGCTAGGATGCAGACAAATCTGAGTCCTCATTTAAATTTAAATCCTTTGCTGACATAGATGTCTTGATTGGGATTGCAAAAAAAACCCCACCCCAATTATAATCACTTAGCATAGCTCTTACAAGAAGATTGTAATTATACCTGAGGCAAGAAAGCTACTTTATCAGCACACTTCATTTTGCTGAGTACTGATAAATGGCAGGGATAGTATCAGAGCATACAGCTATGCGCTTATAACTTCAGCAGTTTGTAGGCTAACCTGGTCAAACTTGAACTGAAACAGAGAAGTGCTTACAAAGGTTACTAACATCATCTGAATGTGGCTGCAGTAACTATCAGCTGTGGGACAGTGTGTAACACTATAGACAAAAAGGGGCAATAAAGATTTATACATATTGATGTAGAGTTCATATGCTAACTGACCTGTGGGTCAAAGAATGATCATTGACCTATTTTATTTGCTGGTATATAGAACCGATTTATAATCTCCTTTTTATGTTTCAGATGGAAAACTTTGATAAAAAAAACAAGTCAGTGGTTTTCTGCACAGGCAGTGAGTTGAGCTGGCTTACCTTGCAGGCAGACGAGCCCTTCTTGCAAGAGGTTTGAGGGGGAGCTACTAGCAAAAGGATTCTCCTTTACAGACAATGCACTATTAGATTGCAGCCTTAAATTGCTCCTGTTAAGCACACAAAAAATACAGCAATTTCAAGATGATGGCTTCCACTCTGGGATCCAGGCACATTGTGTACATCTTCTGCTCAGAAAGTCCTATGTGACTTTCTATATGATAGAAACAGTGCAAGAGACACTAAAAGGCAGACTGCATGTAACTTTCAAGAGATGTACCTCTGATCTAGGAAAAGGTCTAAATCCTACTTAAGGTTAGTAGGAGTGGTAACTTACTTCCATCCCAGATACAGTAACATACCTTTTCTCTTCTTAATCTGAAGCCACAGAAGTCATTGCTCAAATCCTTCACCAGAATGACAAGCCTGGAGTGGAAGTTGAACAATCTGGTCTGAAACCAGAAGGGTTAGGAGGTGTCTGCAGGGGAGCTCCATACATCTGAGACAAAAAACAGCAGGGAGTGAAACAGATTATGGAAGTTATTTAATGAAGCATTTGGTTTATGACAGCAGGGGCTATAGACGACAACAGACTCTCCTGTCCATAAAAGCAACAAAAGCATACAACACTGTGGGTGTGTGTGTATGTGTGTGCATGTGCCTGAATGTTGTCTGGGGACCCTGAAATTCTGAACATGGAAACTATGTCCTGTTCCCTGCTGTGTTCAGAAAAAAAGGGGGGTTATGCATATAGCTTGAAGGAATAAGACTCACATGTGCAAGATTCCTTCAGAAAAGTCATCATGGAAATGACTGCAAAATTAGAAATCCTGGCTAGAACTCTAGCATTAAAACAAATATTGTTGGTGTTCAACTCTCAGTATATAACAGCAATAAAGAAAACATAAATGTGAACTTCTCTGGCAAACACAAGTAATTCGTTAATAAAATTCTAAGTTGTAAGAAGTATTAACATTTAAACCTTTCAGAGTTTAACTATTACTAGGAAACAAGAACTTGCATCGTTTTTTATATATTTCATAATAGCTTTTACTCATACATGAGCTTACTATACTTTGGTCTTTTATGCTCTATTTTCAATTTCTACACTGTGTTACAAAAAAAAGGCACCTTATTCATTTATGCTTCAAAAAGACAAAACATCTGAAATTTTAGCAAAATGTGCAACTACTGTTTTAAAAATTGCAGTGTTACTTTTCACTCCATTTTCTAACCTGTGTTAGGAAATGATGGAAGAGCCAAAAATGCGTGTGAAGCAGCAGAAAAAAACTAGGCAATGGTCATCATCATCTATTCAGTAAAAAGAGAAAAATACATCTAGCTTTCTTACTGGTATCCTCAACAGTCTGAATCATAAAGTTCATTTTGTGAGAATATCCATTCAGAGTACGCTGCAGTCTGCTAGTGGTGGTAACTGGTGCTAATGTTTCAGCACTGGAAGAGAGAGAGAGAACAGATTTTGAAATTGCATTCTTCTGTTTCCTGTCTGAACAGGCTGTATAGCTCTGCTTATCTGCCCAGGGCTGGAGTATGTTACATCCACAGGAGTGCAAGAAACAGAAGAAAACAGATCATCGTAGCAATTAACCATTACAAGATCACCCACATTTCCCAAACAGATTAAGGTATTAAAGAACAACAAGTAACTTTTCATGCTCCCTCTGATGTCTGAAAAAAGGGTGCAGGAGCAGCTTGCAGAAATCTTAAAATCTCAGTTCTTGGTGGGGCGAGAGGTGAATTTCCCCATGCTGCAAGGAGAGATGCCCTGCAGAGAGCTTTTTTATAGTCTTGCAAGAGATTTTACACAACAGTGAAGCTGGCCTATGTCACAAATTATTGGAAGAGTCTGGCAGTACTTCTGGCAAGGGGAGCTAGGCTGCTGTGATTCAGAGGCCATCAGTAGATATTTCCTCCAGGTAACTCATTGTATGGAGTTATTTCAAGTCTCCGTCATCCAGAGGCTGAGATTCCTTCTACTTATAGGTAAAGCAGAGAACCTCATCTCAAGACAGCTGATAGATGTTGAGGCCTGATCCCACAAAGTGCTCAGAGGGATTTTTGTCAATAACTCACTGGAAACTGATTCTAGCAGTTTTGTGCATGTGAAATTTATCATGTTATCATTCAACATTACAGCCTTCTGTGGAGAATTCCTTAATCCATATTAAAAAAAAAACAACCTACAACCAAACAAAAAAGCAAATAAAACCCAACTATGAGACATCCTGAAAAACCGTTTATCAACCAAAGAAATCCTGACCATTTCAGTGATTTTCTAACCAAAAAGTATGTTAATCTCTACGGAGTCCTAAACTCATTCTTGAGAATGCTGTTTTTGTATTATATTATGTATATAGGAATGTGTAATAACTTCATCTTGCTCCTGAAGACATCTTACATAGAGAACTCTGCCTTCGAGTCTCAGTCTCAGTCTGTGTTGTAATGCTGGAGCTTTGGAGCTTATTTATGTCCTTATTATACAATCTAAAAATGAAATTTCAGTACCTAGAGGTAGTACTTTAAATATTTTGGGACCTCTTTAATGGTCTATTTTGGTAGCCCCAGAGGAACCTGACACTGACATATTTAGTCACTGTATCTCCATATATAATTAGGAAACGCAATTGTTCAAAATTCATCTGTCCCCCACATGCTGCCCCCAGATTTTTGATGCTGTGGAAAGAAGAGACACACAAAAGGGCCCCCTAACTTCAGGAATGATTTATAGATGAACTTTAATACTGGTAGTCACATGTTGGTATCATTGAAACCTTTTCTTGTTTCTCTAATGCATTTTCTACCAACACAATTTGTATTTGTAATTTGTGATACATATAAATGAAAATGTAAGAGTGTAATTAATTTTCTGTATTACTGTACATAAAGTACACTATTTAGGAATAATGCAGAATTAACTAAAATAATACAGCATTATTTGTCTTAACTATATCTTCCTCTGTGAAATAATGTAACCCCAGATCTTCTTTACATACACTAATGGCTACTAATGTATTAAGTGTATACCAATCCTTTGTAGTGGACATCACTCCTGTTACAACAGGCATTTTTCCTGCAATTTTTTGCAATAATCCATAGCGGTTTATTCCTAAATCAGATAGAACATCATTTTTTGCAGTAAATTAAGGAAGTAGAGAGTAAGTCCATTTTCCCCAATAGGAAATATGAATATATGCTATCTAAAACTGTCTCTTATAATGGCTTCCACTAGACATTTCAGAGTAAGCTGCGGGACAAACAAAACCCATATAGTAGGTAACAGTAGATGGTTATGAAAATCTTTCCTTAGGACTTTCCTTCCTGACCCTCACTGGATCACATCCCAACCTTGAGAATTTTGGATCCATTTCAAATGTAGACTTTTGTCTAGAGCCTTGGATTCTTTCATATTATTTTATATTTCTATTTATCCTGTTCTTTATAAATGTTACTGAAGTCAACGGGTCTTTTTATGTTTTAACGTCAGCCCCTAAAGAGTTACTATTTAAAATATGACCAAAAAGGAATGCAATTACAAATTCAAGAAAAAATTGGGGCTAGAACAGCAAGACTTGATTATTGTAATCCTGATGACTGTATATCTTAGAAAAGTTAGATGATGGTTTGTCATTTGTTTCTTGGACTAAATGCTACATCAATATGATGTATTTCTCAAATCATGCTCTGTAGTTTAGCTTTTGGCAATACCATGTTACATATTCTGCTTTACTTCAAGGCTTTTACTTAAAAGCTGTCAGTTGTAACCCTATAATAACAATGTGTAAATGGAATCAATAAAACTGGTTCTGCAACTACTTACAGAAGCAGGGAAATTCAATCCCATGATACATCAAATCACAGATAACAAAACTAAGTAAGAAAGTTCTGTATACAAAATGCATCATGCCTATATAAATATACATGATCATAAATTAAAAGCATACAGAGAAAATACAAATATCCTTTGGGGAGAGAAAAATATTACATGACAGTAGAACAGCATCTTACCAGCACATATAAATTATATATTTCTATGTGTTGTATTTCATGAAAAAAAACAGAAGGGGGCCTATAGGGATGCTGGGGATGGACTCTTCATTAGGGACTGTAGTGATAGGACAAGGGGTCATGGGTTAAAACTTAAACAGGGAAGTTTAGGTGGGATATAAGGAGGAAATTCTTTCCTGTTAGGGTGGTGAGGCACTGGAATAGGTTGTCCAGGGAGGTTGTGAATGCTCCATCCCTGGCAGTGTTCAAGGTCAGGTTGGATGAGGCCTTGGGTAATATGGTTTAGAGCGAGGTGTCCCTGCCCATGGCAGGGGGGTTGGAACTTGATGATCTTAAGGTCCTTTCCAACCCTAACTATTCTATGATTCTATTCCAGCAGATAGCTGGTGAATGGATCCAGAATACTGGCTATCTTCTGTACCATCAGATCACTACTGCAGAGTCAGTGCAGTAAAATCATGGCTACTACTATTGCATACAGTCAGCTCTCCCTAAGTTGTCACTGTGTTCCCATGGCCATTCTTTGCAGTACAGCCAATGGCATGACAACCAAATTTTTAGTTCTCCTGGGTTTTATAGCTTATCCTTACAAAAACAAAAATAAATGTATTTTCCCAAAAACCTTTCAGTCTCCCTTAGATCATAAGTCTGTAACAGAATTTCCTATAATTCACCAGATGCAAGTATTCATACTAAAAAAAACTTAAGCTTTTTTCTTAAGGTTTCTTAAAGTTCCCACCAGATTTTCCTAAAAGCTGGACACATCTGAAAAAATCTGCAATTACATTCATTGGTGACTTTTTCGACTTACTAAACTTTCAATTAGAAGTGAAACTATTCTTAATAATAAACATTATTTACATATGTTACCGATAATAACATAAACTGCCATTGTCTTAGGGATAGACCATAACAGAGAAAATGCTAAGAGCTTCCTGGCCTGTTATTTACAATTTCCATGATCTGAGAGGTCAGCCACAACAAAAAACTAAGAGGTGTTTGTCTCAACAATGTATTATTCTGGTTTGTGTTAACTTTTTTAATGTGCTTATAGCTGAAAGGAGTTGCACATCTTTGGTTTTCACTTGTTATTTCCACAGTAGACCTTTATATGTGTAACATAAACTTAGGTCAGAAAAAGATAAATACAGAGTAAAGCAAACACAGTGTAAAGAAACATGTTGACCTAGTTTAAAAAAACATCAGGGGAAGGACAGGATGCCCACAAACATTTTTCTCGGGCCCAAAGGGATGGTATTAATCTTCTATGATTCTGGTGCATCAGCGAAGGCAGCCTGACATGAGCTATCCCTCCATTTCACCCAGTTTCTTGACTGCTGGTTCACCTCCTCCTCACTGCAGCCAGTACAGCAGTTTCTGTGACTGTTGGAGTGAAATGACCTGGGTGCAAAGTGCAACCTCTTACAAACAAACCACCCACCCAACCAACCTGGAGGTAATACCTGTTCAAGGTATTCACACTCCTCCTACCGGATGCCTTTTGTTTCTCCTCCTGTGTTTCTGGGAGCTTTTTGTGGAACCAGTCAAACCATCAGTAGCTGATATGGCTTAGAAAAGTTCTGGGACTCCTTTATTAAATCAAATCAGGTATCTGATACTGTTTGCTCTGAAGAGTTCCTACATCCTTGCTCTGGCAACAGAGATGAACAGAAGCCAGGGTTACAGGAAAGAACAGCAGTGTCAGTGCTCTCAAACAGCACTGCCAGTGAGAAAAGAGCATGAGGATCTGACCCATATGAGTAAAAATGAAGTCAAAATGCACATGTAATTGCTATGATTAGTTAAGCCCAATACCAGGCTGCCTCATTCTCAAATATGCTGGCTCCTAATGTGTATTTCCAAGTCAAAGTAACCTGCTAATTAAGATATAACAATCAGATAGGAAAATTCTGAAAGATGACGTCAGGTAATCCAAGCCACAGTTAATCCTGAGAATTTAAATGTAATGTCTTTGAAATTAATGTTACCTGACAAGGGCTAATGACCTGTCTGGGCTGGTGTGTGAGCCTGTAAACGTAAGCTTGCCAAATTCTCCATAAACTTCATCCATGTAAGAACTTGAAAGAAGCTCCCTTACATAAAGCACTGCAGCCACCTAGCCTTGAAAAGTTGCAAGTGTTCAGCAACACTCATCACAGCCTGCAATTAAGCAAAAGCTTTCTGTGTATTTCTAGGTACTTCAGGAGCCAGTAAAAGATGGACCAGTTGAAGCCAGTAACACAGAAACAAACTGAATTAAGTAACAGAACAACCAGAAATCACTGAAAGGCAGCAATGATCAAAATGTCCATCTTTCTTGAGGTCATCTTTACAAAGTTGCAGGACAGCCATTTTTGCTTGGCTCATAATCAATTCTTGCTAATGCTGTGTTCTCTGGTTGTGCCTAATGCTGATGAGATAAGGAACAAATGGATCAATGCTCTCATTGTATTTACTGGGAAACCAGTAATCAGGACAGAGGACTCAATTCCCTGCATCCCAATTACACATGAATTTACTAGAGCATCCCTTTAGACTGACATAAATTATGAACCAACAGCAACAAAAATATGAGGAAAGCAGTAACAGTGGTAGAAAACACAGACAGCATCAAATATAAACCTATGCCACTGCTGTATAATGGTACTTGTAATTTTCCTCTGCTATAAATCTCTAGGTTGCTCCCAGACCATAAGTCATACAGCAAATCTCACATGCCTCCTCTCAAAAACTCTTAAGTTGGGCATTAAAAAGGCCCTCTTGTCTCACTGAGATTACCGGTCCCTCTGGATTAATACCGTGATTCAAGTTCGCCTGTACAGTAAAAACAATAGAGAAACCTTAGCAGAACCTCACAGCAAAACAAATTAATGCCAGACATTCATATTCTCCCTTTTCTAAAAGGAATTTTCAGTAGACCAATCAGACTTTCTATGCTAGTTGACTAGCAAAATACATCTTTGATTTTCCATTCAGCTACAGAACTAGCAGAGAATGAAAAATTAAGAACACACAATGTAAAATCAGAACCAGGATGAAAAAGTGAAACACAAAATTCGAAGAAGGGTCACAAATGTACTTTTTATTTTCCAGGTGCACAGTAGCTTTAGAAATTTCTCTCTACAGGTGTGAAAGGATTAAAAGGAGATCTAGTGTGGCAGCCCATGGCAGACGTGTACTGTGTGAGTACAGTATTTTTCTCTGATGTGTTCGATACAGTCCACTGTTGAGAACAAGTTGCCTGTATAGATGAACTCAGCTGGATAGTCTATGCTCTTCTC